GGAAGGAAGGAAGGAAGGAAGGAAGGAAGGAAGGAAGGAAGGAAGGAAGGAAGGAAGGAAGGATTAGCAATAGCACTTATATACGTACATACTTATATGCCACTTCATAGTGCTTTTACAGCCCTCTCTAAGTGGTTTACAGAGTCAGCCTCTTGCCCACAACAATCTGGGTCCTCATTTACTGACCTCAGAAGGACAGAAGGCTGAGTCAACCTTGAGCCAATCAGGATCAAACTGCTGACAGTGGGCAGAGGGAAGGAAGGAAGGAATAGGCATAGCACTTAGACTTATATCTTACTTCATGGTGCTTCACAGCCCTCTCTAAGTGGTTTACAGAGTCAGCCTCTTGCCCACAACAATCTGGGTCCTCATTTACTGACCTCAGAAGGACGGAAGGCTGAGTCAAGCATGAGCCTGGTGAGATTCGAACTGCCGAATTGCAGGCAGCCAGCAGTCAGCAGAAGTAGCCTGCAGTATTGCACTCTAACCACTGTACCACCGTGACTGTACCCCTCTGCTAAGAAGCCCGATCTACTGATTTCTTCAAGTTAAAAGAAGAACCAGGGGGTGACAAGATAGCCATGTTCCAATATTTGTGGGGCTGCCGCAAAAAACAGTGGTGGTGGTGGTGGGTCAACCTATTTTCCAAGGCACCAGAAGGCTTCTGGTGATGACATGAGATCCTCATTCAGCCCCCCCCCCCAAGGCAAGGCACAGTGGCAGCAAGCAGGAAAACACATGCGCACACACACGCACACACACAAATCCAGACCAAAAACGTTGCCAATGCTTATGGCACAATTGAAAGCTGCATTCAAACCAGGAGCCTGTTTTCTGGGCTTGCAGAGTGCATGGCGCCCCCACCCTAACTATAAACAAGGCTGGCCCATCAAAAACCAGCCCCATCAGACCTCTGAAGCCAGAGAAGATGCAACAGATGCACAAATGCATCAACTCAGTTTTAATTGGCCTGATGACACAAGGCCAGCAATGGAAAAAGGAAACTATCTCAGATACTCCCCGTAGTTATTGAAGTCCCTGCATTACGCAGCCCAAGAAGAAGTTTCTTGCCCGCCCTTCTATTTAGGACAAGCCCCAATTTAGTGTCCAGCCTTTGGGGGAGGGAAAGCAACAAGGGTGCCCAATACGGCACAGACGCAGGCATGCTGCCAAGCCCCCCCCCCCCAAAAGGCCCTGGGACATCCTAACCAGATTATCTGAGGGACCGTCTCTTGCCGACCCATCAGAGCGGGGAGGGAGGGAATGCTGCGGGTCCCATCCAGTAATGGTCTTCTATTTTCTTCACTACTGATTCGGTAGCGGGAGCATGCATGCATGTGCAGATGTGCCTTGATGACGTCTGGGCGGGTGGGCAGAGCCTAGCACCACCACCACCACTACCGGTTCGTCCGAACCGGTGCAAACCGGCAGCATACTACATTTGGTCCCATCTCCGAGGAAGATACACATGGTGGGACCCAGTAGAAGGGCCTTCTCCGTGGCAGCCCCCTCTCTCTGGAACATCATCCCCCTAGAGATTAGAATGGCCCCCACTCTAATACCCTTCCGGAAGGTGCTACATCTGCGATTGGACCTGGGGTACCCAGAGAGGGACAGAGTCCATTAAATGGCTTGTGGGATCAGCTGTCTCTGGGGTGAGAAGTGATTTTATTACATTAATTTGATTTTTTAATTAGTTTTATAGTTTTTAGATGTGTTTTTTATATTCTGCAAGCCGCCTTGAGTTGCCCTGGGTGAATAGGCAGCAGTAGACATTTAATAATAAATAATTTTTAAAAACCCAAATGCGATCAAGCTCACCAAAGGTGGGTTGCTCCCAGTTTTACTATCGGTTTGCTTCGCCCGTGCGCATGTGCAGTTCAATGTAAATTGTTCTTCACACATGCGCAGAACAATTTACAGTGAATTGTGCATGGGCTCACACTACTACAACATGCCGGGTACCAGGGAACCGGTTTGGGGGCATGGCCAGCCAGGGTCACTGCCGGTTCTGCGACCCAGTCCAAAATACCACTACCCATTGAAAGGGCTCTTCAGAAAGGGAGACCTTTAGGCTCAACAGCTTCCCATCACAGAAAGAACTGCCCCCCTCAACACACACGCACACTCCCAACCCAGGGGCCCTTTCAAATTGTAGTCAGAGAAAAACACTCAAACGAATGCCTTTATTTTGCGCAAAGACAGCCTTAGCTGTGGCACAGAGTTGCCAGAAGCAGGCTAGCTTTGGGGGGGGGGGTTGTGGGGAGTGGGTGGGAAGGCATTTCTAGATTGGTTTGATCGCCCAGTTTTGCATGCAATGCTCAAGTGTTTGGTTGACGTTGCAAGAGGCAAGAAAAGCAGGTTATGCCCAGCAGCCTTTCGTGCCAAAGGCAGGCCTAGAACTCCCAGGCTTCCAAGGCTCCAGCCTGGCGCCTTAACTACTAGACCAAATTTCAAATCACTTGAATTCAATTTGCCTTTTTTTAAAAAGAAAAATCTTCTTAAATGATCCTAAAAGCTAGTGGGGCACCTCGTTTATTAATAGAGTTGGAAAGGACCTTGTAGGTCATCTAGTCCAACCCCCACCAAACGTGAGACCCTACAACATTTCTGACAGTCTCCTCTTGAAATCCTCCTGTTATGAAGCTCCCACAACTTCCAAAGGCAACTTCTGTTCCATGGGTTGATTGTTCTCACTGTCAGAAACTTCCTCCTTATTTCCAATCTGTCCTTGATCCGTTTCCATCCATTATTCCTTCTCTGGCCTTCAAAGGTGCTTTGGAGAATAGCTTGACTCCCTCCTCTCTGTGGCAGCCCCTCAAATGTTGGAAGGCTGCTATTATGTCTCCCCTGGTCCTTCTCTTCACTAGACCAGCCATGCCCAGTTCTGCAACCTTCCATAGTATGTTTTAGCCTCCAGTCCCCTCATCATCCTGGTTGCTCTTCTCTGCACTCTTTTTAGAGTCTCAACATCTTTTTTTATAGTGTGGTAACCAAAACTGGATGCAGNCGAGGTCAAACACAACCCTGATGCAGCCCTCAATGAAATCGAGTTTGACACCCCTGCTCTAGACAATTAATTGATTTGATCCCTTGACTCAAAACCTTTAGAGGGCCGGAGAAAAGTGCCAAGAAATGTTTTCCATTTCACTGGTCCATGAATTTTAATTCTTTTAAAAAATTGAAATGTTTTCCTTGTTCTCATGTGGAAGATGATGCCATTTTCTAATGCAGTGATACCTGCGTTATTTGAAGTCTCTTCTTCCCCACCCTTCCCTTCGGAACCCTCAATTAAATTCTGCTCATATTTATGAAGATTTAATCACACAATTAACCCACTGACAAGCCAAACAAATTGAATGTACGTGCTCCAACAGGGTGGCTGTCTGAATGGCTTGTTGAGCTGGGCAACAGTTTTTAATTATTAATTTAGAGGCAATCCGTAGCCACATTTATTTTTTGCAAAAAAAGAGAGGGTGAAAGAACAAGGTCCAACAGGGAGTAGCCAAGACCTCAAAACTCTTGAAAGTTGAGCCATCTCCCACTTGACCCTCTCCAAATGGGACAGGACCAGGAGTGTCCACAGGGATGGGGTTCTTCCAGCCCAAGGACTGGCCCATAGATTTCCACTGCTCTCATCTCCTCTGCCTTCTGCACAGCGGCACTGGACCCAGCTGTTCCTCCTCTTCCTCATCAGCCACCTCCAGACCTGAGGGCTGTTGACTTTCCATCTGAGCGCTGATGGACGGCCCAAGCTCCACCTCTGTCTCTTTCTGCCAGCTCCATTCCCACTTCCCCGTCAGAACTCTCAGGTTGCCTTGATGCTGACCCTGACTCCCACCCCTCCTCTTTCTCCTCCAATTTAGCTGCTGGAGAGGCCAACGGCCGACAGACCACAACAGGTGGTGGATTATCTATGAAGCTGACCTTTACCAACCCTTGGCCCTACCTGAGTGTCTACCTGTCTCATTCTCCAAAGTTTGAGTATGCAAAACTCACCTTTACCTGGGATTCACTCATGCCCAGGGAATATGCCAGTCGTGCCCGCTCAGGCCCAGCCAAGTATTTGGTCTGCTCAAAGGTTTTCTCCAGGGCAAAGATCTGGTGGCCTGTGAAGGTTGGCCGTGTGTGTTTCTTCTTGTGGAGGCTGTCACCCAGGTGCCCTGAGGCTGTGTGGAAGGAGATGGGCAGCATGGTCATTGACTGGCATCTGGCTTCCCCAGGGGCAACACCAAATCTAACTAATGTCTTAAACATTAGTTGCCTAACTGAATCCAATGCCTTTCCACACATCATCCTTAGTGAAGCGTGCAAACCAGCGTCTGCATTCCTTGCGTTGGATGAGGTGAGCACATCTTTCTCATCCTGTCCTGGCCACTTTTTACAGAGGCACAATTGAGAGCATTTTAACAAACTGCATCCCTGTTTGGTTTGGTGGCAGCAGCGCCTCAGATAGAAAGTCCCTACAGAGAGTGGTGAGGACAGTGGAGAAGATTATAGGAAGCTCGCTTCCTGTGATTCAGGATGCTGCTTATAAGCACTATGTGCTGAGAGCTCAAAGCATTGTGAGAGACCCCACACACCCACTTTAGGGCCTGTTTCTGTTGCTCCCCCTCTGGGAGGAGGTTTCAAAGTATTTCTAGCAGGACTTCCAGATTCTGTAACAACTTTGTTCCTTATGCTATCCCACTGATACACTCACAAGATTTGTTTCTCTCTCAGTGTACATGTATACATCCGGACTAGACTGTGCTATTTCTCTGTGTCATATAATATACGTGGGTAAATGCATAATTTTGCATTTATTTATTTTGTCATGTTTATGTAGTGTATATTGGAGGTGGTGACCCTTTGAGAGCTGAATGCAACGAAATTTCATTTTAATGCATGCCGATTAGTGTACATCCAAAGTGACAATCAAGTTATTCTAAAGTCTAAATCTAATCCAATGCCTCAAAATCAATTCACTCTATCAACACACGTTTAATCACACAGCTGCCGATCGACAGAAAGGGTGGCATTGCTTTAACTAGTTGACTACCAAATCTGAATTGGTTGAAATATTCCAAGCAAACAGGCAATTTCGATTCACCCTCTTCTGTTTTGCAACCCCTGTTTTAGGTAGCAATTTCCCCTTACATTTCATGGGATGCGGTGGCTCCGGGGATAAAGACACTGAACTTGTCAATCAGAAAAGTTGGCAGTTTGGCAGTTTGAATCTCTAGTGCTGTGTAACAGGGTGAGCTCGTGTTACTTGTCCCAGCTTCTGCCAACCTAGCAGTTCGAAAGCACGTAAAAAGTCCAAGTAGAAAAACAGGAACCACCTTTGCTGGGAAGGTAACAGCATTCCATGCGCCTTGGGATTTGAACTGCCGAATTACCGACCTTTCTGATTGAGATGGTCAGCATCTTAGCCACCGCATCTCTTTGCTCTTACTGATCCTGTAGCTTTGTTTTGAATATTTTTTTATCCTTGCCTAAATTTCTCTGGCTTTCTCATGTGTCTCCTTTTCTGTGCCCCAAGAAATTGATGGGCTAAAATAGTCAATCATTTTCCTCATTCTCTGCTTTCTGGCTAATGTGTGTGTTTCTTTGTGTGTGGGCCATAATTATTTTTTATCCCACCATTGTTATTGTTTACCAATAATTCGTAATTAGTTTACAAATAAGTTAAGGCAGAAAACACATATATCAATCAATCAGAATAGAGCTGGAAGGGACCTTAGAGGTTCTCTAGTCCAATCCCCCTGCTCAAGCAGGAGCCCCTATACTAATTTCAAACAAGGCACTGTAAAGTCTCTTCTTAAAAAATGTCCAGTGATAGGAGAGAGGAAAGGGAAGTAGAGAATAGAAGGGCGACAGAGGGAAAGAAAGGAGGTAGGGAGGAGGAGGAGGAGAGAGAGAAGAATGTGATGGATAAGGTACAAATACGGTGTATGGAGCGCAGAAGAGCCAATAATCGTTTTTGGGAGTTGATGGTAAGACGAACTGATGTAAACATTTAATAATATAATACAATGTTGGTAATGTAATAGTATTCATGTGATTATATGTTATGAAAATGAAGAAATAAAGAACTTTATATATAGAATTGAGGAGCTGCCACAAAGAAGAAGAGGGGGGTCCAAAGCATCAGAAGCCAGGAAAAAGAAGCGATGGATGGAAACTAATCAAAGAGAGAAGCAACCTGGAACTAAGGAAACATTTCCTAACATTTAGAACAATTCATCCATAGAACGGCTTGTCTTCGTAAGTTGTGGGTGCTTTTAAGAAGGGACTGGACACCACTTGACTCGAAGGGCATCGGGTCTCCTGCTTGAGCAGGGGGTTGGAGTAGATTACCTCCGAGGCCCCTTCCAACTCTGTTATTCTATGTTTCTACCACAAATGGACGGCAGTGGGAAAATCTGAATAGTTGTCCCCATTTATTAAGGTGTGTGTTTGTGTGTGTGTGAGAGTGAGAGAGAGAGAGAGAGAGAGAGAGACAGACAGACAGACAGACAGACTTTACTATGGCTGTGTCCCTGTCCCTTTCTACCAGTCCAATAGAGATCATTTTAATAGCTGAAGCTTCTCTCGGAATATGTCGTTTTGCAAATATCAACCATGTTACTAGGAATGCAGAAGATGGTAACTCTCTCTCTCTCTGTCTCTCTTTTCCTCTCTCTCCCTCTCTCTTCCTCTCTCTCTCTTCCTCTCTGTCTGTCTCTCTTTTCCTCTCTGTCTCTCTTCCCCCTTTCTCTTCTCTTTTCCTCTCTCTCTTTTCTTCTCTCTCTCTCCTTTCCTCTATGTTTCTCTCTGCCTCTCTTTTCCTCTCTCTCTCTTCCTCTTTCTCTGTCTGTCTCTCTTTTCCTCTGTCTCTCTTCCCCCTCTCTCTTTTCCACACTGTCTCTCCATCTCTCTTTTCCTTTCTCTCTCTTCCCTGTCTCTGTCTCTCTCTCTCATTTCCTCTCTGTTTCTGTCTCTCTCTCTCTTTTCCTCTCTCCCTCTTCCTATCTCTCTTCTCTTTTCCTCTCTCTCTTTTCTTCTCTCTCTCTCCTTTCCTCTCTGTTTCTCTCTCTTTTCCTCTCTGTCTCTCTTTGTTTCTCTTTTCCTCTCTCTCTTCCTCTCTTCCTCTCTCTTCCTCTCTCTGTCTGTCTCTCTTTTCCTCTCTGTTTCTCTTCCCCCCTCTCTCTTTTCCGCTCTGTCTCTCTCCATCTCTCTTTTCCTCTCCCTCTCTCTTCCCCCCTCTCATNCTTTGGAAAGACTTTGCCCCCTCCTCTCTGTGGCAGCCCCTCAAATGTTGGAAGACTTCTATCCTTTCTCCTCTGCTCTAAACTAACCAGGCCCAGTTCCTGCAACCGTCCATTATATGTTTAGCCTCCAGTCCCCTCATGATCCTGGTTGCTCTTCTCTGCACTCTTTCTAGAGTCTCTAGGATCCCCCCCCCGCCCCACAACTGTGCATCCCTAAGTTAAGCATTGCCCTCCCCTCCCTGCCAGTATTAAGAGCAAAGGCATGATTTACCTCCAAAGAGGCCACTGGAGGGGGAGGTCATTGTTTCCCCCTTTTCAGGCTGGCTCGTTTGACTATCTGAGCCCCCATCCTGCCCCCAAGCAGTTCCGATCTCGCGACACTCCCTTGATCCTCGTCCTGGGGAGGGGGAGACCAGCAAGAGACAGCCAAGCAGGAGCCCCGTCGCCAGCAGACCCACGGACAGGGGACAGAAGAGGAGAGAGAGAGAAAGACACACACACACACAGGCAGAGAGACAGAAGGAAAAGGGCGTCAGAAGAGAAAGAGGGAGAATCCGGAATCCGAACAGAGTAAGGGAACAAGGCTGGGCTCAAGACCATCGCAAGCAGGTGGGGGGAGGGGCTGCTCATCCTCGCTAGCCTTCGAGGGGCACATTTGGAAAACCAGCCTCACATCCAGACCCCCAGGCTGGGGGGGGCACTCACGATAATCACCTCTTCGTGCGTCCGTCCATCTTCGGTCTCCAATCGCCGGACCACTTTACGAATAATCTGTAATCAGAGAGTCACGAGTTCAGGAGGTGGGGAGGGGGTGAAAGCAGCAGGGAACAAGGGTCTGTCAAACTTTAAGGGAACTTTTGAGGTGTATGGATTTCAACTCCCATCGTCTATAGAGATTCTCTTTATTATTATTTTTTAAAGTTTTTTATTTGTTTTTATTTTTTTACAAATCTCTCAAATCAATGCATGAACAGTGCGGCGCCTGGGTGCCACTAGATTCTAATACAAGTAAAACTAATAAATAATATTATATTCTCCAAATATTGTAAATATATAATAAAATAATATTCTCCAAAGCACCTGAGGGTAAAAGAAGAAGCAATGGGTGGAAGCTAATCAAGGAGAGAAGCAACTTAGAACTAAGGAGAAACTTCCTGACAGTTAAAATTATTAATCAGTGGGAACGACTTGTGTCCAGAAATTGTAAATGCTCCAACACTGGAAGTTTTTAAGAAGATGTTGGATAACCATTTGTATGAAGGGGTGTAGGGTTTTCTGCCTAAGGAGGGGGTTGGACTAGAAGACCTCAAAGGCCCCTTCCAACTCTACTATCCTATCCTATCCTATCCTATTCTAAAGTTAATCATAATCATTACATTCAATCAACTTATGTATTTCTAATAATAATACACATTTATATTAGCTCAGCAGTCTATCATTGTTCAATCATTCCACGTTTTCTCTTGTTATTACTTTCATTTTGTTATATAAAAATGTGTACACTAATATTCCCCCTTCTCTTATTTCCATCACTTATTGTAGCTTTTAATCATGTCGCCCTTTATTTAAAAACTTTTTCTTTCTTTTCTATCTGATTTCTAATCATGTCACCTGCCTAAAAAAGTAAAGAAGGGAGAGAGAAGGAAAAGGAAAAGAAACCAGAACAACAACTAAGAAGAGAAATCATCTATCCATCGTCTCTTGCCCACTTCAATACTTTAATTGCTATGCATTAAAAAAAGGAAGAGGGAAAAGGAATAGCAGATCAAAACAGCAGTAAACGATTCTCAATTGTTCAGGTCATGGTTGCCCCAAATGTGCTTTTCCAAAAGGCAACTGGACATTTTTGGATTTTTTTTTGCCCTTGAAAATGTTTTGCTTCTTATCCAAGAAGCTTCTTCAGTTCTCAGATGAGAAGGGAAATGTTTTCAAGAGGCAACTGGACTTTCTGGTTTTTCTTTGAAGNATTTCTGCTACCGGTTCTCCAGAACCTGTCAGAACCTGCTGGATTTCACCTGTCTCGAACCCTTCCTTCAAAAATAAAAACCAAGAAAACGGTTTTTGAAACCATCCAATTCAGACTTCTGCCCAGGGGAGGACTCGAACCAAAACTTCTTCCTCAAGGAGTAGCTGTCCAACCTCTGTTTGAAGGCAGGAGTGAACTGCTACCGGTTTGCCTGGGTTCGGGAATCCGCAACTAATGTTATGGCGGGTTCAGAGAACCTCCAAATCCCTGGCTGGCCCCACCCACCCCTCCTAGGAGATTCCACACGGCCTGTTTTGGTACAGGACTTGCACAGAAGCTCGGGGAGTGGGGAAAATAGGCCTCCCAGAAATTCCAGAACAGAAATTCCTTTCCGGCCTCCAGAGGGCTTCCGGAGCCTGGGGGAAGCAATTTTCGCCCCCCCAGAGGCTCGAGGAAAGCCTCCAGAGCCTGTGGAATGCAAAAAAACCCCTCATCTCTGGCCGTGATGCAGGAGGCCAGCTGGGCCACACCCACCATGGCCACCCCCACCCAGAAACCGGGCAAAGAACCCATTCCTGGAATTTTTGAAGCCGGCTGCTGTTGGAAGGCCTCCAGAGAAAAGGCCTTCCCTCATTCTTTGGGTCAAAAGTTCCATTCTAAAAAAAACTCCTCTCCCCTTTTAGGAAGTCTATTCTGACTTCCGCTAGAATCAGTCTTCCCATAATTTTAAGATTGATATATGGGCACAAAGAATGAGGACTATACAAAAAAGTTGCATTTCTTCTTGCTCAAGCTTCCACACCAGAATCTAGTTAATTAACTTTTGGTACTAAATGAATGCCAGATAAGGATTGACAGAGATTAGGAGGTGCTGTACTTAAACAATTTGTGGGAATGTAACGATGCTCGGCTAATGACTTGCTTAACCCTGCCCTCACCCCCAGCTCTCCCGACTCTTCTTCTGCAACTGGTTGTTGTACGCTGCTAAAATAAGGCAGTGCAGACCCTCCTAGAAAACTGGGTGAATAGAGTTAGGAGTTTGCGAAGACCCTGTTGAGTGAACCCAGTTATAATGTCTTGTTAGCCTAAGAGTAACATAGTATGTGAACCCAGCTGAAGGAGGCTATAATTTTCACTCTTAGAATCATAGGGCTGGAAGGGGCCTCAGAGGTCTTCTAATCCAGCCCCCTGCTTAAGGCAGGAGACCATCTGGGTCAAATGGCTGTCCAGCCTATTCTTTAGAACCTCCAGCAATGGAGGAGCCCATAATTCAGGTGGCAAGCGCTCTCCCCCCCCCGTCAAATACACACACATCTTTTTGTGTATGTGTGTATGTGTATATGTGTGCGTGCGTGTGTGCATCTATCTGTCTGTCAGTCTGTCTGTGTGTCTCACTGTGTATGTCTATCTATCCATTTACCGTGTTTCCCTGAAAGAAAGGGTCTTATTTTCTTTTGACCCCCGAAATAAGCGCTTGGCCTTATTTTCAGGGAGGTCTTTTTGGGGGGGGGAGGTGCAGGAGTTGGCAAGTGTGGTCACCTCATGGCTGCTGCTGTATTGCAATATTTTCAGGAAGGGCTTATTTTGAGGGGAAGGCTTATTTTAGCTCATGCGCTCAAAAGTCCGATTGGGCTTATTATCCGGGGAGGGCTTATTTTGGGGAAAACAGTGACTGTCTATCTTGTGTGTGTGTGCATGTGTGTGATGGGTGGGTAGGATAGATGAATATATGGATGGATGGGATAGATGGATGATAGAGGGATGGATAGAGGGATGATAGATGTATGATGGATGCATGGAAAAGAGGGATGGATAGATGGATGGGAAAGAGGGATGATAGAGGGATGGATGGATGGATGATGGATGGTGGGTGGATGGATGGGATAGAGGGATGATAGAGGGATGGATAGATGGATGGGATAGAGGGATGGATGGATAGATGGGATAGAGGGATGGATGGAATAGAGGGATGATAGAGGGATGGATGGATGATGGATGGATGGATGGATGGATGGGATAGATGAATGATGGATGGATGGGATAGAGGGATGGATGGATAGATGGGAAAGAGGGATGGATGGATGGATAGAGGGATGGGATAGAGGGATGATATATGTATGATGGATGGATAGATGGGATAGAGGGATGGATGGATGGGATAGAGGGATGATAGAGGGATGGATGGATGATGGATGGATGGATGGGATAGAGGGATGGTAGAGGGATGGATGGATGGGATAGATGAATGATGGATGGATGGGATAGAGGGGTGGATGGATGGATGGGATAGAAGAATAATGGATGGATGCAATAGAGGGATGATGGATGGATGGGATAGAGGGATGATGAATGGATGGGATAGAGGGATGGATGGATGGGATAGANAAAAAAAAAACATCTTTGGAACCACCATGACCTGGAGGACAGAGAATATCCCTAGACTTTGGGACATTTCAACTCCCAGAATTCCCCAGCTGTGGACACTAGAATCATAGAATCATACAGCTAGACAGGACCTTGGATGTCTTCTGTTCCAACCCCTTGCCCAAAGCAGGAGACCTTATACCATCTTGAACAAAGGGCTGTCCAATCTTTTACTGAAGACCTTCAGCGATGGAGCAACCACAATTCTGGGAGACAAGCTAGACCACAAATCAGAATCAAGCTGGAAGGGACCTTGGAGAAAGTCCAGCCCCCTGCTCAAGCAGGAGACCCTGTATACCATAGAAAAACGGTTGTGTCAGGAAATTTCTCCTTAGTTCTAAAGTTGGATCCCTCTTTAAAATCAACAGGGAAGCCAGATTCATTTCACAACTGTGTTTGTTACTAACCTAACCATTGCAGTGACTCGCTTAACAACGGTGGTGAGAAAAGCTTTAAAACGGGGCAAAGCTCACTTCGCCAGTGTCTCGCTTAATGACAGAAATGTTGAGCTCCGTTATGAACTATCTGTATTCAGGTTAACTTTGAGAATAAAGAATAAAGAGGAATCGGTGTACTTCAAGACATGGGGAAGATTCTATGACTGGTTAGAGAAAGAAATCAAGAAAACAAAGTAAGAGCGAGCTAAATAACCCAGACGACACACTATTAAATGAAAGGGGGGGGGGAGAGGGAGGAAAATAGAAAAGAAAGTATTAACACACAAGTACATGTTCAAGAATGAGACATAGATAAAAAAATAGTTAGGACATGATAGTGAAGAAAAGGAATGGGAAATGATAAGTATAAAATTATAACTGGGCTTGTGGGAACACCATCCCGAAAATGCAACAGTTGAGAGATTAAAAGAGACAACCACAACAACAGAAAAGGAAAGGAAGAAAGGAGGCGAGGAGGAAAGGAGAAGGAAGGAAGAAAGAGGAAAGGAAAGGAAGGCTGGAAGGGATAGAAAGAGAAGGAGAAAGCGTAGGAAGAGGAAGAGAGGAGTAGGGGAGAGGCAAGGGAAGAAGGAAAAGGAAAGGAAGAGAGGAGGAAAGAGGAAAGGGGAGAGAAGGAAGAAAAAGTAGAGGAGAGGAAGGAGGGAAAGGATAGAAAGAGAAGGAGAGAGGGTAGGAAGGAGAAGAGGAAGAGAAGAAGGAAAGGGAAAGGAGAAGAAGAAGGAAGGAAGCAGAGAAGGGAGGGAAGGTAAAAAGGAAAGAAAAAAATAGCATGGTGTTAATATAAAATAGCGTATGGGATGGTAAGCAAAGCAACACAGAATGCATATTATAACCTTCTATATGGAAAACCATGTGTAAAAGTGATAAATATAAATAAGAATAATAACTATGTGAATGTATACCTGTAATTGTATGTAAGAGATTTAAAATAAAATAAAAACTTTAAAAACAAACAATTAAAAAAGGAACTACCCGTATTCCCTCTGTCCTTCTCGGCAGGTTCTTTTCTCCAAGGCTCCTGCTTGGGAATGAACTCTGCTCACTTTAGGACCCAGAGGAAAAGTCAAGTCTTGCAGCTGCTATTCCAAGTTTGGGGGGGGGGGGGTTGCTGCTAATTCAGGAAGCCAAGTTTGGGTGCAAACTGATCCAAAAGGTGAATGAGGATAAAAGGGTCTTAAGTGTCCAAGAGGACTGGAGGGCAGGAGAAAGGAGGCAGATCTGGGATTCCTGGAAAACAGGAATAGATTCAGAGATATCAAGAGCCAGCAGAATTTCTCCATTTCTCATTTGTGCTCACTTAACCCTCCTCTATTTGCATCCTTTCCAGATGATGATGATGATGATGATGATGATGATGATGATGATGATGATGATGATGATGATGGAAGAGGATCTGGGACCCCGAGGACACGCGGGGGAAGCAGGGGGAAAGGAAGTGGGGGAGAGTCGGGCACCAAAGATCAAAATTGGATGTGGGACTGCATATGTTTTCTTGCCATTAGAGTCCTCTGCCCTAAGATTGGCAGATGTCTCTAGAGACAACCCTCACCCCTCACCCAAGACATGGGGATCAAGGGGGTTCAATGACACAAAGATGTTTTGTATCTGCATCACTCATGACATCCTAAAAGCACAAAAGTAGCAGAGCCTGTGATGTAACTGTTGTGGCTTGCTGGTGGCCAGCAAAGCTGGAAGCAAAGTCGAAGAGTGAGGAGGTTGGGGAGGAACATGGGCCAGTCCTGGAGGCTGAGGAAAGCTCAGACAAGGGCTCTGCATCAGAGGCAGAGAGGGAGTTAGACAGCAGTGAGGCAGAGGAACAGCTGGAGCCTGTTCCCAGTGTGCACATGCACAGAGCTGCCAGAAGACAAGAAGAACTAAGAAAGCAGGGTCGACTTAGGAGTAAAGCCACATCTTGGAGGTGATTGGCCCCTCCCATAGGAAACAAAAGAGAAGTGAAGGGGGAGGGGGCTTTTGCAGGAAACAATCTCATTCCTTCGGTCCGGAAAGTTCTATTTATAAGAGACTCTGTGCCAAGTTTTTCCTTGCCCGGTGTTTGGAAACTAGTTATTTTGCAGTGCTCTAAACGAGATAAGGTGCGTGTGGATAAACATTCCTTTAGTTTGCTAAAGCCTTGCCAGCTGTGAATGAAAGGAATTCACAGTCTTGTAAATAAAAGCGATTTTGCAGGGACCAAGATTTTGCTTCTTGCTTCCTAAGGAAGCCTGGGTCTGAACAGTAACAACACAACACCTCTCTTTGTCAGGTTGACAAAAAGATTAGATCTCATGGACCCCGCTAGTTGTTGTCCATTTTAAGGTCTCTGTTAAGTGATGTTGAGACTTTGGAAAGAGTGCAGAAAAGAACAATAAAGATGATTAGGGGACTGGAGGCTAAAACATATAAAGAATGCTGGGATTTGGTATATCTAGTTTGATGAAAAGAAGGACTAGGGGAGACATGATAGCAGTGTTCCAATATCTCAGGGGTTGCCACAAAGGAGAGGGAGTCAAAATATAAACAGAGGTTGTATAAACAAAGGCATAGAATCCAAATCACATAAGTATTAGTATCACTTTATAAAGCCTTGGTAAGACCACATCTGGAATACTGCATTCAGTTTTGGTCACCATATTACCAAAAAGATGTTGAGACTTTGGAAAAAGTGCAGAGAAGAAGAACTAAGATCAATAAAGGCTGGAGTCTAAAACATACTAAGAATGGTTGTGGGATTTGGGTTTATCTACTCTGATGAAAAGAAGGACTAGGGGAGACATGATAGCAGACTTCCAATATCCCCAAAGAAGAGGGAGTCAAGCTATTCTCCAAAGCACCTGAAGGCAGGACAAGAAGCAATGGATGGAAACTCATTAAGGAGAGAAGCAATTTAGAACTAAGGAGAAACTTCCTGATATTTAGAACAATTAATCAATAGAACAGCTTGCCTTCAGAAGTTGTGGGTGCTCCATCACTGGAGGCTTTTAAGAAGAGACTACTCTGAAATGGTACAGGGTCTCCTGCTTGAGCAAGAGGTTGGACTAGAAGACCTCCTGGATCCCATCCAACTCTGCTATCTTGTTATATTCTGTTATCCTCTTTTGTGCGAGAAGCTCACCTTCTTGGTGATAATGTTGCCTTGTTCATCGGTGAATTGCTCTTCGGTCACTTGTTCTCCAGGGATATCCAATATTTCATTACCCTAGCGAAAGAAAACAAGAAAAACAGAGACCCACTGGGGATCAGGATATTCTCACCTCTGCCCTCTGCTCTGTATACAGCTAGGCTCTTCCAAATTATGTTCATTTGTGTCAGAAACGTCACAATTAAAATAAGGCATAAGGTAAAAGGTAAAGGTTCCCTCACACATATGTGCTAGTCGTTTCTGGACTCTAGGGGGCGGTACTCACCGCCATTTCAAAGCTGAAGAGTCAGCACTGTCCAAAGACATCCCTGTTGTCATGTGGCTGGCATGACTAAATGCCAAAGGCGCATGGAACGCTGTTCCTTCCCACCAAAGGTGGTTCCTATTTTTCTACTTGCATTTTTAACGTGCTTTCAAACTGCTAGGTTGGCAGAAGCTGGGACAAGGAACAGGAGCTCACTCCATTATGCGGCGCTAGGGATTCAAACCACCAAACTGCTGCCCTTTCTGATCAGCCTCTTAGCCACTGAGCCACCATGTCCCTTAAAATAAGGCATCTCATACAGCACCGGTCTGTCAAGGGCAACCTGTTCCACCCAAATATGGGACGGAGCAGAATGGTTCTGTTTTCAACTCTGATCCAGAAGTCCTCGCAGGCCGTTGCTTTCACGACACACTTATTATTATTATTTTGAATTTATATTTACCGACAAAGAAATAAAGGGAGACTAGCATAGATCTATTTTGAGCTATTTAGGTCTCGTCAGCTAGCCATACCCTCGGTGGGATTAGAACCCGTGCAGTATAACATTTAAAAGATCCAATGCAAAATGAAAACATTGGCCGGTGAAACAAATCTTGCCCAGAAACTAGCAACGTTAATGGCTCTTCCACCTGTCCAAAAGTCAGATTCCCCATCCAGATAAAGTCAGATAAACACCAGGTTCCCTGCCCAACAATGCTTTTTCGCCAGTTGGCCAATCTCAACAGTGCTATGGAGTCTTTGACCAGCATCCAAAAGCTAAGAACAACACCTTCTCCATCAACTTGGGCACCTTCGTCCCAGGTCTGCCGCCCGCTCACGACGCACAAAGGGCTACCTGGACGAAGAGACGCCTGCGCACCACCCGGGTGGAAGCCGACTCTTCATCGTCACTCAACCCTTCGGTCTCCCCCAGCTCCTTGTCCAGCTCCTGGTGGATGTGCTTCAGCACAAACTGGACGGAGCCCTGGGCAATATGCAGGAGATTCTGGCAGCTGACCAGGAAGAAGCCCAGGAGGACTAAGCTGACAAGCAGCTGGGTCAGGAAGCCCCACATGATCCTGCAGGAGCAGCCAGGCGGGCTGATCACATCCCAGCCAGCTTGAGCCTAATGCCTGCTCTTTATGGCCGCAGGGCACCGTCCAGGCTGGTGGCTGGAGCAGCCTCCCCCCCTCTCTCTCTGCACTGGGGAGATGGGGAGAGGGCTGTAATTTTAGCCCAGCCCCAGAGCAGCTGCTCAGCCAAGCCTTCTATCCCCCTTCTCCCAGAAGGAGCTTTGTCAAAGTCACCCTTGGCTTAAGCCACTCAAAGCAAGAGACGTCGGCTGCAGCACATGGGGGTGGCTGGATCGGAATCCATCGGCTGGTGTGGCTGGGAATGTGCTATGCCAATCTTTAGACCAGGTTAGGGCACCTCTCTTAAGCCCAGCCCAGCGATTGGTAGGCCGAGAGGGGTCTATTTCTGGTATTGCTGGGTCTGCCCCTAAGCAAGACCCTGGCGCTACCCAATTAGGAAGCAAGCAGAATTGCTGCCCAGGGAGATATAAATAGAGCCCACCGCTATGGCCAGCTGGGTGAGTGGTCCTCCCTCCCTTAGCAAAAGCAGAAGAATGCCCTCTGCTGGTCAGCAGCCCTAACTGCGGAGTTTGCAATCGACAGACTATTACAAGTATGACCGACTTACAGCAGTTTGTTTAGCGACTGTTCAAAGCTGCAACGACAATGAAAAAAAGCAACTGGGGACAGATTTTCATAGTTACGACCTTTGCACCATCCTCACGATCAAAACTCAGACACTTCCCCACTCCTGGGGAAGGATATTGCAAAATCTCCATTCTCTCCCATTCAGCTGGGACTCAAGAGGCAGAGAATAGATGGGGGCATGGCCAGCCAGAGGTGGTATTTACCGGTTCTACGAACTACTCAAAATTTCCATTACCGGTTCTCCAGAACTGGTCAGAACCTGCTGAATATCATCTCTGGTCCACCTGTACCCTTACCTGCATTTGTGCAAAGCAGCTGCTGCCAGAATCCTCCAGCCACTTGGCCAAGCCTTGCTGCCTCCCTGGCTGGAGACCCCAGTCCCTCTGGAAGGGGGAGCTTTCCCGCTCTTCCGATGAGTCGATCCGCATGTGCTCCAGCGTCTCCCGTTCTCGCAACTTGTAAGACGACATCCCTTGTCGCAAGAGTGATGGGCTTAGGGACACTCCCTCACCCAGGTCTGACAAGCTGGAGATGAAGGCGCCCTCAACCACCCATTCGCCAGGCCTAGAGTCAAGGACAGAAAGACGGGTGAGGTTTTCTTTTTAAAAAAATATTCCCTTAGAACTGTGATGGCAAACCTACAGCATGCGTGCCAGAACCCTCTCTGTGGGCATGGGTGCCATCACCAGCTGCTCTTCTGGTTTCTGGTGCACCAGCTGGTCTTTGTGATTGCCAGAACATCAGAAAATGACCTGAAAAAGGGCCTAAAATGGTCTGAAAACAGCCTGAAAATGTCTGGAAAAATGGTCTGAAAACAGTCTGAAAAACAGCCAAAACTAGCTATAAAATAGGCATGTGCCAGATGGCCTTCGGGTTTCTGGTGCTATGGTGCATGCGCATGCAGGAAACCCAAAGACCAGTTGGCTGGTGCATGCATGCACACACATGCATGCATGTTTTGGTTTGGCACTTGGTGCCGAAAAGGTTTGCCATCACTGCCTTAGAATATAAAATCCACAGCACCAGATTTAGTCTGGAATATCATGGCCACTTTCCAAAATCTGATGGGGCTTCCTGACAGACTCTGAAAAACCAAGAACGATACACACAACTACTTCCAAGCTGTTTTCTTGGCTGTTCCTCCCCTACAAATGGAAATCTTGCCAAACAACGCAATCATTTGCCTTGTCAAAGAGATAATCTGAGAACTTCTAGGAGGAAGTTTCTCCAACCAAAATACCTAAACTTTACTGTCTCTTAATGTCTGTGGAGATTCCAGGTTGTGGCTGTCCCTAGAGGTGCTTTTTTTCCCAAGAGGCAACTGTTCATTTCTTGTTTTTTCTTTTGAAGATGTTTCACTTCTCATCCAAGAAGCTTCTTCAGCTCTGACTGAATGGTGGAGAATGGAAAGATTGATACTCCTTGCAGGCAACTGGTCATTTGCATCCTTTTAGAGGGCCGTTGAGACCACTTGGAGGTTTATCTGTGTCCTCAGGGTCACCTGAGTAGTACAAATGCCCGTGGAACCTTCTTGGAACTGTTGAAGGGACTGTGTCATAGACTGGAGATAGATGAGGTTGTTTCCCTCCCCCTCTGTTGAGGGAGGGCTGTTCAATTTTGACATATATAACCTCTTTGATGCAGGCCAGAAGGAAGAATGTAAATAACCAGCGGTCTGCAAAGAGTATAAATCCTTCCATTCGCCACCATCCGATCAGAGCTGAAGAAGCTTCTTGGATGAGAAGTGAAACATCTTCAAAAGAAAAAACAGAAAGTCCAGTTGTCTCATGAAAGAAAAAAGCACCTTTGGGATATTTGCTTGCTTCTTGGTCCTCTGGAATCCAGACTGCAGGTCAGGGAGGGCATTTAGGGAGTGGATTTCAGGTGTTTTAAAAGGTGAAATGGGTACTTTAATCAGCTGCCAAGGTTAAGGTATACTCAACTCCACTCTTAACCGCCTTCTTATGGAAGCTCAAGTTAAATTTCCCAGGAGTTGAAGTGAGTGTGCCATTGACTTAATGGAGAGAGTAACAAATTGGTAGATCACTTGAGTTAAATAGGCCCTCAAGAACATTGCGGCAGAAAATTAAAAGAAAGTAGAGAAAAGTGTAAAGAAGGAAGGGAGAGGATGGGGGGAGAAGAGAAGAGAAAAAAGGGTGAAAAGATTGGAACAATTATTATTTAAGGCTGAGTTAATCTCAAGGCAGTTAGGATCGAACTGCAGGCAGTGAACCATGAATTAGCTTGCAATGCTACGTTGTAACCACTGCACCACCACGGCTCTTATATTGATGGATTCCCCGCCACCAACATGGAAGTATCTGTGCCTCTGTTTGAGCAACGAAGTCCGGTCATGCCAGACACGAGGAGGACACTTCCTTGAGGACAATCCAGAACTGATCCAGGATGTCTTCTCTCTTTCCCATGCTAGCCCACCTTCAGAGTCCCCCCCTCCACCGCTGCCCCAATCCTCCCCGCCCTTCCAACTGGGTGTCGTCTTACCTGTCCTTGCCCTTCTCTATCACCCGGCTAACAGTGGGCGACTCTGTGATGCCCACTTGGACTCTCTGTTGGCCTGCAATGAGAAAGAGGTCACAGTGGGGACCCTGACACTCCCCCAAGTGCCCCCCTAAGTGCTCGCCATCTGGCCTTCTCCCCTCTGACCTCTGACCTTCCTCCTGCTCTAACATGTCCATCAGGCCATTCATGGCGTCTGAATCCACTGTGTCTTCCTCCACCAGGTCCATGGAACCAAGAGGGTCAGCGCCATGCACATCCTCCAGCGTTTGCCCCGTGAACCGCCCTTCACTTGTGGCGTCCGAATCCTCAGCCTTGCTGCACTCCAGAGAGGAATCTTCGGCAGTCACCAGCGAGGGCGTCAGCCCGGAAGACCACACCTGCATGTCCGACATCTCCAGCAGGGCATCCTGCTCGCTGGCAGCCATGGGGATGGCTTCCAGGATGGCCACCTCATTCCAGTATTGGTCGGCACACAGCGGGGAAGGCAGAGCGTAGTGCATGGAGGCGGGGGACAGCAGCTCGTCCTGCAGCGAAGCATAACCTGCGTGGGCAGACAGAGGACGACAGACTGACACACTGAGCTGGGGTGGGGGTGCAGAGACAGGATGAAGCAGCCCTGTCCCTCTGGACAGTGTTGGTCAACCTTGGCAGATTTTCAGACGTGTGGACTTGGGGAACTTTGGGAGTTGACGTCCGCCCATCTTCAAGTCGCCAAGGCTGAGAAACATGGATATGGAGATGATTCTGTGCATCGAAGGATCTCTCCATCCCAACCTGTTTGATTGGCGCTTCCTGGACCCAGCACCATGGATCCGTCTGGGTAAGGGGAATAAAATTGCACTCAGGAGAAAAGGGGGAAGGGGAGGAGTATTTGCTCTCATTCAGAGACTGCCTGCTTTTGAAGGGGAGCCACGAATGCAAGGTGGATCTCATGCTAACTTTAACTCTTAACACAAAACTTTCCCAATCTCAGTATGGAGGGTGGGATGGGGCGATGGGACTTCAATGCCCAGAATTCCTTTGAGCAGCTTGGTGGGCTGAGGGTTCTGGGATAAAGCCTATGTATCGGGCATGGGGGAAGAGTCAGGAAGTTGGCTCTCCATAGAATTAAAGCAACAATCAAAGCATTGTTTGTTGTTTCTTGCAGGATGCCATCCAGTTTTGGAGTGAAGAAATTTTTAAAAAGGATGGGGGGAAATGCCCCTGGATCCTTTCAATGCTGAAATCCCATGGCTGCTTCTTGTCCAATATCTAAGGGGCTGCCACAAAGAAGAGAGGGGGGCAACATTTTCCAAAGCACCAGAAGGCAAGACAAGAAACTGTCTGTCTCACTGTCTGTCTGTCTATCATCTATCTATCATCTAGCTAGCTATCATTTATCTATCTATCTATCTATCTATCTATCTATCTATCTATCTATCTATCTATCTATCATCTATCTAATCTATTTATCTATCTATCATCCATCTATCTATCTCTATCATCTCTCATCTATATCTCTCATCTATATCTATATCTATTATCCATCTACCTCTCTCTCTCTCTCTCTCTCT